CTCTGGAATAAGTTAAAATATGATTTCTGTCTAGGAGTACTGTTAGTCTTGACAAGTTCTAGGAATTTGGGTCAGACATTCGTTTATGTTAAAAATTCATTTGTTTTATGATTTTTCTTTAATTAATGAGAGGAGGAGAAAAAAAATACTTCTTCAGCTCCTGTTCCCAGGGACACTCAAAAACATGCTGATATTTTTAACTTGGTTTTCCTATGGAAACAAGATGTAGGCAGGCAAGCTTCATGTGTGTGATTTTGTTTGTGTGTGTATGTGTGTTCTGAGGCTCTTCCCTTGCAGATAATTTTCTAAATAATCCTACTATTCAAATTTTCCTAGAGAGGGAAAAGGAAATCTTTTCACCAGTGTCAATGAAATTTGCCAATAATCTAGGATTTCAGCAAATTTAATGGGAAAAGAGACAAGTGGAGATGACCTCCAGCTGGGAAAATTGTTACCAACAGTAATTTGGTATCAAGCAGCAGAGAATCCGCATTAGAGTAAAATTATAAATGCACCAATAAATCAAATGTGAGAAAAAGTTTGTTCAGTGCCCAAGAAGATGTGAGCTCTAGTCTTGGCCACCTTAAAACCCAAATAGGCAGGGAAGTTAGTTTCAATAGTGCCTTTTCTCTTGCAACTATTTTCTTATACTTTGTGTTGTGAGAAAAATAGCAATATCTTTCAAAGACCTTTTTTTGCACACAAGCTTTTCTTTTTAATCTTCTACATTGAGCCAATGATTCTGGATGTCTATCAGTGTAGCAGAGAGATAAAAAAAATGAAAAAGCTGATGGAAATTGCATCTCAAGTGTGTCATCTGGTCAATGAAACTTATCTTGTAAGAATTTGGTAAAGCAGGAGAAATTAAGAGAAAAGCACATTTGACAGGGAATATGTGATGCTTCTTTGTTTGCCTGTGGAGGTGAAGAGGACGGTAGAATCCAAGGAATGATTTCAGGATGGGAGTGAATATTCAAGATAAGTATTTAGAAAGAAAGTATTTTTTATATAATCAAAAATGTATTGTTGGAGTTCTTCCATTGTGGATCATTTTTGGTTTGGAGATTTCTTGCCTTTCTACATCACAGCATAACAATGATTTCCAGTTTTACATTGGAGCTGAAGTCTGAGAATTTGACATTGTGCCTCAAGGTTTGGTGGACGTTTGTCACCATACAGATCTGAAAGTCTTTTTAGTGAATTGAGGAACTGACTTTCACAACTACTACCACAAGAAAAAGCATGGCTGAGCAAATTTTACAGTAAAAGTGGATTTTGCAACAAGTGATTTTCATAATGCTCTTAAAAGATGCTTCTTTAAAGTCACAGTAACAGAGGAATGACATAGGCTGTGACTGTGATGACTCTCTTTAATGGGAGACATTACAGATTCTGTTTCGTAACTTTGTAAAAGTGCTGTTTATGACATTTTTGCAAGTAGTTCTGACAAGCTACCTTTGTCAAGAATACTTCTAGTTATTTAGGGCAGATACCCTAAATACTTCCCTCTGTCTGATGCTAATTTATTGAGTTTTATATGAATTTAATATGAAATGCATGGTATATATATGAAAATGTATAAGCAAATTATATGCTTTTTCAAGGAAGTAACTGTTGTATTTTTGCTATTTTGTATCTTTCTGGAGAGCGAGTGCTTTATTAGTGGTCATCTTAAAGAAATACCTTACCTGAAATGCATAAACATTGGAGAACCAAATTTCTGGATTGATTCCTGAATTTTAAGTGCCATCCTAATGCATTCATTAGAAAAATTTTACTGGTGTTTCTAGAAAACTCAGGTGTTTGTCTCAGACTTTTAAGCATCCAAAATGTGTCTCCAAATAGTCTATGGGTATTAGTATCTTACCAGATATAAAGAAACATAACTCTTCTATTCTCCCTGTATTCACTAAGAAATTTTAAGTGTCCTTTTGTTTTACTTTTCGTTTATTTTTTCAGTCCTCATATTTAAGATGATAGATGAAAAGATAGGAGTACTTTTTCACTCAAATGAAAATTCACCTTCTCCATGTCCTAGTGCAGAAAATTATTAGCAGTACATCTGAGATGCTTCCATGAAAGCTAGGAGAAAAATCCACATTTAGAAATCACACTTGGAAAATGTGAAACTTGATTCCTAAGCAGTGTATTTTGTGTGTGTGTATTTCAAAAATGTTTTATTTTAAAAATGATCAGAAGATACTGAAAAATGTGTTCTTCAAGTGGAAGACTTTTATTATGCATTTATTTTGATAATGGAAAGAAAGCCAAACTCGTTTCTGGATGGCTGAATTTGCAGGTGAAGCTGGCGAGAATGTAACTAGCATTTGTCATGGATGTCTAATTTGTTGAAGTTTGTGGAAATGCTGATGTTCCCAGAAAATTGAGCTAAATTGACCATTGAAGAAAGAGTAGTACCTGTTTCTATGAGCTGTAGCTTAGAAAATAATGTTATGTAAAAACAGGTAATTACTTACCAACTGGCAATATGAATGCTTTCTATTCTCACTAAAATACAAGTTTCTGAAGTGTAAGAAATATGCAGTTACAAATTCAAGGAAAAAAGAGAAGCTGGATGGGAAACTCGCACTTACTTACTGTCACAGTAACTATCATACTCATCTTGTTTTCCAAACTCTGACTGTGTGGTGGGAAAATCAGACTTACTGCTTGAATGAAATTAGGGAGTGCAAGATTTGACATTTCCAGTAAGAAACTAAATCATAATACACGTGTTTTCATTTGAAACAGCTCTAGTTTTGCTTTGTTTTAATCTGCACTTCAGACAAGCTTATTGACACTTGGAATTCAAGGCTTTGGATGAGTGTCTTGGGAACCAACGAATGTCACACGAGTTTTGGCTGCAGATTAGACTCAAGGTCGGGTTGCTTTTTCTCCAAAACAATTCTGGAAAAAATACATTCTTTATATTTTTACAGTGCTTTAATGTTTCCCTTAGCACCAGCTGGGGTGCTAACAAGAGGTCTTTATAGCCCGGTCTTGCATTGAATTTTTACAGTATTTTGAAAAGGCTTTTTCTCCCCACTCCCAACATTATTTTGTTGTGAATCTGTCCTCTGTCAGACACATGCAGTCATCCAGTGCTGTAGTTAAGATAATTTCCCCACACTGTAATAAATGCACAGTCGTTTTGAGTATGATCATATCTCAGGAGGTTTGCAGGAGATATTACCATAGCTATGATCATTTGAGTGAGAGCAGAGGAATGAAGTGGGTGATATGGATTATTTTTTGGGAGAGCTTTCCCTAGAGGTCAATCCAATTAATCAGCTTTTGTACTATTGGTGATTAAGTTGAAATATGAACCTTTCTCCTAAGAAAGTGGATTTAACAAGAGTGCTGGATGTCTGTTTTCTTGTATCCATAATTGCAAACCTGGGTTAGTGTTACCTAGTGATATAAAATATATGAATATAGAGTCATAGAATCACAAAATGCTTAAGGTTGGAAGGGACCTCTAGAGATCATCTAGTCCAACCCCCCTGCACACGCAGGGTCACCTAGAGCACGTGGCACAGGACTGCGTCCAAGCGGGTTTGGAAGATCTCCAGAGAAGGAGACTCCACAACCTCTCTGGGCAGCCTGTTCCCGTGCTTCGTCACCCTCACTGCTAATACATTTTTCCTTAAGTTCCTGCAGAACTTTTGGTGTTTCAGTTTGTGGCCGTTTCCCCTGGTTCTGTCGGTGCCACCACTGGACAGAGGCCGCCCGCTCCTCCCTGCTGCCCTCCGCGCCCCAGGAGCGACGCCACCACGGAGGGTGCAATATAGATACGTTGGATAAATTTTAGTCAATTTTAAAAGATCTTTAAACTGAGTCATTGTCTCTAGTAGGAGTTTTAAAGTGTAGCATGATGGAAATACATAGGCAAGTAATGGATTTTTTAATTAAGATGTATTAATTGCTCGAAGACTACAATAAAGAGTATAGCTAGCTGAGGCAGGGGAAATGCTGTTTTGAACTGTTCTATAAAAAAGCTTTTGAATCTGGAGGAATAGCTGTATTGGTAGAGAGCTTAAAGATGATAAGGAATTTGGTGCGAGGAGGAAGAAGCTGATTCCAAAGAGCTATTAAACAATGTCTGGATATTTAATGTTCTGCCATATGTGTAGTCAACCATTTTAATACCTCACCTGAAGAATATTAGTTGCAAAAATTATATTGTATAGAAATTACTATTAGAGAAGACTTCCAAAATTAGTTTGTTTCACAGAATCACAGAGTAGTTGAGGTTGGAAGGGACCTCTAGAGATCATCTTATCCAATCCCTCTGCTCCAGCAGGGACACCTAGAGCACATGGCACAGGGTGGCATCCAGGCAGGTTTGGAAGATCTCCAGAGAAGGAGACTCCACAATCTCTCTGGGCAGCCTGTTCCAGGGCTCTGTCACCCTCACAGGAAAAGTTCTTCCTCACATGGAGATAGAATTTCCTGTGCTTCAACTTGTACCCATTAGCCCTTGTCCTGTCACTGGCCACGATGGAAAAGAGTTTGGCCTGGTCCTCCAGATTTGTTATTTAAAACCAATCAGTGCTCAGTCTTCCAGATGCTCACTTCTGTCACTCAGCTTTTTTCCTTGGATGGAATTAATAATATGGGATGCTCCATGTGAGTGGGGATTCTAATTTTTGGTATTTTTAACTCCTCATAGAAGAGCATGTGTAATTACACAATCCTGCACAGTATGTGTGTTTATTGCTCCATATTAGTGTTGTTATTGCCACAGTAGTGGCAGGATCTAGGGCAAAGGCAATTTAGGTTGCACTGATTTTATCCTGGGTAGTGCTGCTTGTTTCTAAGTGTGTGTAATAACCAACGAGTAACCAAGATATATGAGAAGTCTCTTGAACAGCATCACTTCTAGCTGGGTTCTTGCCTGCTGGGGCCAAGAAATAGTATTACAAGGAATTCTAAAGCTATTCTTGAGATATAAATCTATGATGGCATAATGATAACAGACTTTTTTGTTGTTTTAATAGGTCCTGGAAAATATTAACAGCACCAATGAATGAGTTGACCCCAGCTCTCAGCTCCAGATGACTTGCCCTGCAGTTCAGAATGGTATGTATGCTTCCATTATGAAACTGTTGGCAAAATCTAGCAGCAATTTTTAGAATATGTTCTTGTAGCTTTTTTTAACCTTGGCAGCTGCTCTTGAGAGTGACTGACCCAGATAATCTGTAATTTAGTGATTTATTCTTGATCTATTGCTGCTTCACAGCAATGGTAAGATGTAATGTCAAATACCTCCTTGCAACTTCGAGGAGGATGCAGTAAACTAACGAAGAAAAAGTCCTTGTGCTGTTGAACTATGCCCCTGAGAGTCTGGCTCATATGCACAAGCCTCACACTTTTGCCCATGCCTGGCCCCTCAAGCTCATCTCACAGGATCTACAGGGCAACAGATTTTCTGACACACTGTACTGTGTGTCAGTCTGTCTGCGTAGCTACAAAGTGATGAGGAAAGATGCAGGAAAGAGCGATGTGACCCTTCATGCTGAGACGACACTGTCCTTTTAGTCTACGTGGATAATGTGAGTGCTGTTGTTGTCCTGCAGGCATGTAAGGTACTGACAGTAGATCAGGACAGGTGGAGGATAATTTGCATCACCTACATTTTTTTTTTTTATGTCAGGTGTAGAATCAGTGCTCATAACAAAAAATAACCCCTTTTAGTAAAGAAAAAGTGAAACTGGAGGTGTGGTTTGGATATTGGTGCTGATGGGATCTGCTGATGGGGCTAAGGCTAGGCCTCCAAACTAGAGTTGAGATGTTACGCAGGAGTGGATAAAGATAGAGGAGCAGGGATTATCAGGAGCAAAGGTTTTGTATATACTTGAAGATATGCTACTTGCTCAAAAAAAAGTAAGATATTATGAAAGAGATAATAGCTGAATTAGCAATGAATTCACTGATTCAGATGGTTGAATTCCAGAATAAGTAGGAGAATAGGATATGTCAATGCAGATGCAAATTTCCCCTACACAGAGAGAAGCAGGTTACTTTAGTAATAATAAAATACTATCTTCAGCTTTTCTAGACTTTATTTTAACAGAGAGATCTCAAAAAGAAGAAAACTAAGGATAACTTAATTGGAAGAGGAGCAACATGAAATATACCTGATCTTGGTTGCTAGCTGACCTCTGAAGTGTCTGAATTTAGCAAAAACTGGCTAATGATTTGTATATTCTGCGCACATATTTTCTAATGTAAATACCATGTTTATAACCTAAGCTTGTGTTGTTAGATGTCGTCTGTTACTGAAAATGGAGATGCCTCTGCCAGAAAGCCGAATGAAGAGAAAACATATAAAAAGGTAAGACACATTAACTTTTCTCTATACCTTTTACCTTTCATTTTGGATAATTGAAACATACTGTAAGTGAAATATACTTTAGAACCAACTAATACAGAATTACAGAAATGAACAAAGGATGTGCTATGATTCAACTGAAAGTGTGTGTGTGTGTTTTTTGTTTTTTTTTTTTTTTTTTTTTTTTTCCTGTGAAATCATAAGACATTTCTGCAGGGCCATCTAATAGAAAGCTAGTTCACCTACAGCATCTTTAAAATATGCATACTTGCTGTATGTGGAAAATGCTCAGTTTTTAGCAACTGAGATTTCTCTGAGCACAAAATCATTAGTGCCAAAGTGTCATCACTTTGTCAATATGCACCTACTGTGTGCGCTTTTTTAACATTAAAAAAAAATCAAATAATATTTCTTAATGGTCAGATATCCACATGCCTCTGCTGTGTATGATAGGTTTCTGCGTATCATCTGCAGTGCACCTGGTTAAGTCAAGGAGAATAATAAACTACTTCCAGTCCCTTTTGTTGACAGCCACATTGTCAGCATTTTTCTTGCCTTGAAGTTTCAGCTGTTTTTCTCAGAACTGACTTTAAAATATTGAAGTCAAACTTGTTCTTGAAATATGGTACCAGAAAGGAACAAAGCTCAATGTCTGGGGTAGACACACATGCAGCTTTATATTTCTAGAATAGATGAGACAAATCTGGGTAGTTCCTCACCATGTGAGCTTCCTTCCCTCTTCCTCTCTCAACTGCTAAATTCACAATATTCCAGGGGAAGCCTTGTAAAGCATAATCACTTTGGCACCAGTATCTTTCCTGGAAATGTGTCTCCGACAAAGCCTAGCAATTGCAGCAAATTCTATGCTTTCCCCTGAGTTTTTGGCTTTCTGCTCTTTTATCTTATGTTAGTTAGTTGGATTCCTGTTCATGTGCTCACATCCCCCAGTGTACTCTGTGTGAGATCCTGTATAGGAGATCCTCCAGAGCATAGTGTTAGCAGCAAATTTTGTTAGTAAGCTCCTGCTTTTTCTGTGAATGTTGATAATAAAAAGATTCATGCATTTTGGTCCCGTAAGTTATTTATGAAGAACTTTACTTCACCTGATGCTTTCCACTTTAATAAGGTGTCTGCTTGGAAGCCAAGCTCCTTACATACTTTGCAGTTTCTGTTGGTTCACACCCTCTCTAGATTTCCCAGGTAATGCCATTTCACTTTTTTTTTTTTTTTTTTTTTTTTTTTTTTTTTTTTTTTTTTTTTTTACTGAACTGCAGGCAAGCCAGTTGCATTTGTCTAGAAGGTTGGCTATGAGGTGAACTGTCATGACATGTGTTTAACAGAACCATCTTATACCATCTCCCATTTAATTCCTGTTTTTGGTAACTCTCCTACAAGATCTTGCTTATGAACAGGCATTCACACTTAAGATCAGACCCATCTATCTATCTGGTGTTGCTCACAACCCTGCTTGATGCAGGGTGTTGCACTTACGCAGGTATTGCATTTGCATTTCCCCAGTCATGTATTATTGCCCGTCAGTGCTTTGGCTGGAAAACGTGTGCAGCTCTGTCTTGTGAGTTCCTGTGCCGCTTCCTTGAGCTCTTTCCTCAGCTGGTGCTTGCTCAGCTCCTGGGGCACTTCCCGTTCCCATCCCACCATCGATTCCAGCAGAAACACTTAGGCAAGGTACTCACATAGGTCCTGACTGATAAGCTGATAAGTACTTCTGGCCCACCCTTGTAGCTCAAAGGGCTTGCTTCCCTGTTTTTTGTTGTTGTTGTTGTTGTTGTTGTTTTCTTTATGCAAAATAAAGATGAAGAAGCTTCTGCTGTTCATGTTGCAACATGAAGGCCCTTCCTTGTCTTATAGAGCAGGTGCCCCAAAGTGCCTCTTTAGCTTTTTTGTCTTAGCATCTTCAAAGGAACTTCCCGATTAGGAGTCTGAAGTGGTTTTGTGTCAAAAATTATATGATATTCAGGTACCTGCTGGCATGTCTATAATGCCAAAACTAAATTAAATTTCTAGGATAAGTAATGCTCTGATACTGCCCTGCTGAAGGGTACGTTTTCCTCATGCCTGAGGAAAAAATACCAAGACGTTCTTCAAATTCTGATTTAAAAACAAAATAATAGGTTGTGTCTCAAAGAATTTCGCATTTTGCTTAATTATATACTTTATCCAGTCATCTTGTAGAGGTTATGTTTGTTCAGCATTAGTCATATGTATAAAGTACATGCAAAAGGGGAAAGTGATGCATGGAAAATATTTCTGTGATGTAAGATCTGACGACCCATAAGGCAAAATGAAACGATGTAAATGTCCTGGCTTTATAAGCCGTGTGTCAGATCTTACAGATTCTCTGTGTTAGAAATAAGCCTACAAATTAGTATATATTAAATAATATGCTGTAGTTGCTTGATCTGAAAATATAAATATCCCTTACTAAGAACTGTGAACATTAAAGGAAACATGGAAGAATATTAGAGAAATAATTGCAATTCCTTGATACTATTGTTTAGATCTATTTTATGTAAGTATGAAAAACTAGTATTTTAACCTAGAGAAAGAGGTAGCTTTATGGAGTGTAAACGAAACTGCTTACCTTAGTGCAATGCAATCTGTCCCATTGACACAAGGATGAATAATGGCTAACTGAAACCTATTTTCATCAGAGAACAAATGATTTCTGATGGCTGTTTGAGGAAAAACATTCTTCTGCTGAGGCATGCAGAAAAACTCCACATTCTTTCTGTCTCGGATCTCTCCTCCTCATTTCTGAGGACCCTGGAGCAGATGCTGCCAGCAGAGCTTTGAGTGGCAGCTGAACCGGCATAGCTGAGGTGCAAGGTGCTGGGCTGTGCAGTTGTAGCTATTGAGTACCATGTTACTAGATGCAACAGCTGGGAGATGAGGGGGAGGCAAAGACCCCTCAATTCTCTCCCTTTTCTGTTCTTTCTTCTTCATTTTCTAATTCTGTGCTTTGCGTTCTTTCTGTTTGTACAGTCAAAGTGTGCACTGCTGAGAGTGATGTTCTCATCTAGTGCACCTCGTCTCTGAGGACTGCCTAGAGGGGATAAATGAATTTGCAGGTCTGTGTCAAGAGGAGAGACTTGTAAGCGTTGCTGCTGAAAATGGGTGCTCCTCAAAATGTGGTTTCCTTCCAGATGTCCTCTGTGTGTGTGCTCCAGTGTACTTTGGCCTGCTGTAATTCTTTACAACACAGTTTGGCCCTGACAGAGCTAGCAGAGGGGTCACTACTTGCCTGTGCATCCTCCAGGAAAAGGAATTTGTTTATAATGGAAACATTTTCCCTCAGGCTTATGGTATTTTTGTTCTGTTTTAGTAGTATGTTCCAAACAAGCATTGAATTTATGTAGTTAAGTAGTTAGAAAGGAGCTTTTCTTGACACAATTATCTCAAACTTCATCCAGGGCAGGACTTCGAAAAATAGTATTCTGTAGGCCTATCAGTTACATTCCTGGACTTAATTTTTTGAGATATTTTCTTTATGTTTTTGTTCTATGAATATTGATTCTTTTTTCAATATTCATGAAATTCAAACATGAATATTCATGTTTGCTCCGCTTTCATGGCAGAGGAAAATCAGACTTGCCACATGCCTGAGTGTTGAATACTTGGGAGCTCCAAGAAAATATCCTGGATTGCTAAAAGCTTGTGAGATGCCTTGTGCAAGCATTGCTAGAACATCCTCAGATACTGTACACTTTCTGAAATGCATAGCTAAGCCAAGGCAATGGCATGGTTTCTGTACTGAATCATTTTTATCGATTGAGCTGTAATATTTTATAATAATTTTTTTCCTGCCACTGCTATCTGACGCAAATGTTCTTGAGAAATGTTGGAACACAACTTTCTGTGACATTATTACATTAGTAAACCAAAGCTTTTCCTTGAATATTTTCACTCTAGAAAGGACTTGTTGGAAATGGGTCTATAAGACTCTTCAGTGTGGTCCTTCACTACAAACATTTTAATCTGTAGCCCCAGCTGTTTCTTTCAATATTTCAAATTTCGTGAAGTGTCTGAATTTCCAAAGAATGTAGATATTATCTGAAAATTTTCAATCACTCTATTCAAAGATTTTGGCTAGTCAGCCAGAAATTCATAGAAAACTCCACTGCACCTATATCTGGGTATAAAAAATATCAAAGAAATCTGAAATCTTGCAACTGTGGCCAGCTTTTTGAGTGTGGTTGTTTTTGCTGTTGTTTTCTCCCCAAAGAAAGAAATAAGGAGGAAATAAAAAGAGAAGCTCTAGATGCTTTCTCCATTTCATGTTTGGAATCCTAGGCAAAAGACCATGGCAACACAAACCAGTCACCAGACTGAGCTGAATATCCATCACAATCTTGTCCCTATTGTATCTTGAGGATACAATAGACACTTCTAATTTCCTCCCAATATTTTGCAACCTCTTTTTTTGTGAAAATCATGATAGTTGCACCTGACTCCAATTACTACATGCAGGTTTTGCACTGTGATGTCCTCAGACCGTATTGTAATCCTAATTCTGCCTAGGGGTAAACCAAATCTAAGCAGGATCCTGGCAAATAATACTGGGCTGGTGGCACGCCTGAGGCACAGACAGATCTGCTAGACCATATTAAGCAAATAGAAGAAAGTCACACCAGAAAGCAAGGCAGATGCTCGTTGTGCTCGTGCTGTGGAAATCTGCTGCTGGATTGTCAAGATCTTTGCTTGTAGACTGAAGGCTGTTGTGTACATATGCAATTAGGCTGTGCTGCATTCTTACATAGCCTGCGGTTGTTCTGCTTAGCATAGTGTGAGCGCTTTACATAACCTACTCAAAATTGCATGTTGTGGAGTCACTTTGCCCTGCAGCAAACAGAGCTTACCTGGATAAGGGAAATCAGCTACCTGCTGCTAAATGTAAAGGTTTATGAGCAGTACTGCTACATCTCTGCGTTGGCTTGTCTGCTGTGTCTAATGTCTGCAAGTAGGGTACTTAATCTCACAGACTT